TCTGATATTAGAGATAGAAATTTTGCTATTTATTACGATGTACTAGGATACGCTTTCCGAACGTACTTCATACACGAATAGATACACGACAATGCTAATTTTCGTTTGGCCGTCCATTCCGCGAGACTTTTAAACGCACGACGACTTTTTTCACTTTCTTTCCTCGTTATTTCTTGAGCTTTCATCGATTCTTGGATCTCGAGTCTGTGGGTCGCGGCTGAGTCTTCACGGTTTCGATACGATTTAATCGAGTTATAGAATGCACGAAAAAAAAATATTTCTATAAATATTATACGCGCTGTAAAGCAATAAAGTATTGGGATACATCGATCGAGAGGAAGAAAGATACGAAAGAGAGAAAATGAAGAGGAAAAAATTTTTATGAAATTTATAACGTGTCCATTTCTCTATATAAAAAAAAACGAATTAATACAAGTACATATATATAAAATATACAAGGTATTTCAAGGTATGGAATATTTTCAGAAAAAGTCAATTTGTTCAATTCTGTTATAACCTTGAAACACATAATCTTTAATCTTAAATTTTATAATTTATTGAATTCACATCTTCTTTTCTTCTTTATTAATTTTTAATAAATGATAAAAAATACTTCTATTTTATCATTTTATTATAATATCTTATTCAATTCAAATAATTTATAAGAAATTTTCCTCGAAATGGAATATAGAAAATTAAGAACAATATTGAGACCAAATCTAATGAGAAAAAAATTAATATTTGGTAAAAAAAAAGAAAATTTTATTTATATGTGTCGATGTTAATCACAATACTATATTGCGCGGATCTCTCTTGGTATACGTAAAAACACAAAAAAGAAAATAACTTTAAAAGAAAACAAAAAAAGAAAAAAAAAAAGAATGGGAATCACAATGTATATACATATATATATATAATATATAATATATATATATATATATATATACAGGACCACAGGTTCGTTAATTTTACAATACGAGAGACACGAATGTTTTTCGGATTAAAAAATAAAAAGACAAAATGAAATAAGAAAAAAAAGAGAAAAAACGATGAGAAAAAAAGAAAAGAATAGTGAATATAGTTGATGAATGCGTGTCTTGTTGCGCGCCTGACGGACCGTGACCGGTCCACGTTGTTCGCGGATCCGTACGCCATGTTTTAGGTGCACAATCAAGGAAGTGTATAGTGTTTAAACTCGCAGCAAAGAGCAGAACAAACTCTCCCCCTCAAAGCCCTTGTTACGAGCCAGCAGTTGAACAATGATGTCTGATTTTTATCGCCAGAGAGCAGTAATAGCACAAGTGAAACCGTTTCTAAGTACATTTGTTATACAAGCATATTGTTATCATTGCCACGTAAAAGCAATTATTAACTCCATAGCCTGGGCCATTGTTAGGTGAACGAGAGAGCTAGAGACTGTTTCTTGAAGCTGGATTGCACTGATACACGTTTACTATTTCGTAATTACTATTCGTTTACTATTTCATAATTAATAATTTATTTTCATTTTTTTTTGTACTATTATCCTTTAATTGATTATAACTTTAATTAATATTCATGTAAAGTTATCTCAATTGAAGTTTATTTCATTTTTTTTAATTTTCTCGATGAATGATTTATGATATATATTTAATAGAGAGATAAATTAAAAACTTTTAAATTAAAAGAATTGAAAAAATATTAACGACACTATTTGAAATGCTATAGTGTTTAATGAATAATATTGCTAAAATTATTTACTATTTTAAACTTTGATTTGAAGGTTAAGTGAAAATAAGATACATTATTTTTTACTTTTCAAGTTTTGTTTATATTATATATTCTTTACTCTTTTTAATTTTTTTTTTTTGTTTTTTTGTAATTGGTACAAACTAGCATCAAGAAAAATACGAGAAAGAGATTATCGTAATAACTGCCGATTACTCGGTAACAATGGCAACGCCCATACATACGAAGTCTGTAATCGAAATGCTTTATATTTTTACACCGAACAAAGCAGTATATAACGTACAATAAACAATAAAACATGTCCTTCCATATGCAACCTCAAGATGACAAATGTTAAATTTTTATTTTTACAACAGCCCACTATCACTTCCGATATCTGAGCTATATTCGAGCATATTCATAGTTGAGACTATTTAAATAGGATTAATTGAGACAAAGTCGAATAAGAATTCATTTTAATCGACTCACAAGATTTACGATTTCTACTTGACTCGATTGTCTATTGTAATATATGCAATTATACGATACGACAGTCTACGCTAGTGATATTATTGTATAACGTCAACGTTTCACATGTACACAGCATATACACGTCCACATGTACGTGCACGTGTATATGCCAAAGCATACACAAAGATATTTATGTGATCTTCACTATGCGCAATATTTCGATAAACATTTTGCAGTCATTCGTTTATTTGATCGTAAAAAAAAAAAGAAAAGAAAAAAAATATCATCTAATAAGTATTTTATTTAATTAAAATGATGAAAGAAATTCAAATAAAGTGGTCTCAAAACAGTCTGTCCAGACACTAGTGTCATCTTGTGCCCTATCTATTGCACGATATTTTGATTTCAACGTATACAGCTTTCATAATCATTTCATTTCATTTTTAATAAAAATAAAAATGGCAAGAATTTATCAGTATCAAAAAAAAATGAATCTCATACATTAATTTATTAATTTCGTAAAAAAAAAAAGAATGTACATATGTATTAAAGATAGCTATATATTATTATATATACGTACACAACACACCAAACACCTCACACAAATGCAAATACATATATGTAATATGTGAAGGTTTTCAATGTGCTGTTAATTGCAATCAATTAAACTGTTAAATAATTTTCTTTCTACTTACTCTTTGATGTTTACAGGTCGAATCAAAAGGTGCTCGAAATCTGTCGGTTAGCAGTATGGTTCCTTCAACGTTTTCTCATTTGTTTCTTCATTTATAAACTTCACATTTACCAAGAGAAATAATACACTATTCTTCACACACTTAATGTTTGTGCATTTATCACTTTTAATCACAATCTTTTTCATTCCGATAATATAACTCCATTTTATACGATTTAATATATTTTCATATGAAGTTTGACTTCAACGCATTATCCAACGTTGCCAACTAAAAATTTAAAAATATATTATTTCAAAATATACCAATTATTGAATCCGATTATTTGAATCTATACTAGCAGCACGTATGACAACCTTCAACATAATATCACCGATTGCCAATTAAAAAGGCGCTAAATTCAAACGGTTTTCTACTTTTTTTGTTTGAAATTATTATAATGCTTCTTTAATTAGTAATCGGTGTATTTAATTCCATGATCTCTTGCAGAGATTATCGATTACAAAGTGGAATTAATGATAATTTCGTTTAGAATATCGAATAAGATTTGAAAATATATATGCGTTCAAAGAATGCCGATTTTCTTAAATTACAAATGTACGTAATACCTCAGAGTCATTACGATATCAATACGTAAAAATAACGAAACATTTGTGATTCGTGATGTATCGTAGATTATTACCGAGATATTGGTAATTTCATACGACAAATAATAAAATATATACGAACTTCAAATATTTATGTACGTCGATGAAAATTTTTCGAATTACGGCAATTATGATGGATTCGTTTTATCTATGCACTTCCCTTTCATTGTAAAAAAAACTATTCGAGATATCGAATAGTGTTTCGAATTTCTCGCATAAATTTCATTCGAGAGTTATTGATATCAATCTTCGATTTCTATATTCTTCTTAGGATAAGAATTTTTATGAGTTAAAAATATTTTTTCTAATATTGATTACTATTGAGGAAAATTAAAAAATAATTTATGTTTTTAAAATATTTCAAGTATGCCGTAAGAAGAACCGTACTGACCTGTACGTGAAAGTATACGTATCCAACAAGGGAACTTAATCTTTCAATACCGCGTGAGTATGAAGGAATTTTCTTCGAGGACGCAAACAAGAAAATGGTGCAAAAATACAAATAAAATCTCAAATTTTTCATACTTTTAAGTATAATAAGTAACAAAAGTAAGTAACAAAAATAAGATAAAATTCCGTTTTTAAAATTTAATCGAGGAAAGTTCCCTCGTAATATTTAACGCGTAGAAATAAACATTTTTAATATTTCACATTTTATCACAATCTTCATCGAAGTTGTTCAAATGCGAAGACAGTCTTTTTCGTCTCGAAAATAATATTACTTATTTTACACGCATCGAATGTTAGGACTGTGTTCGTATTACGATAGTTGTTAGTAAATGAACGTTTTTCAGTCCCTAGAAAAGAAAATAATCATAACAAAAAAAAAAAAAGATCGAATTTTTCGTAAAGAGAGAGTACACATATACACGCTTAATGGGAAACATGTATATGTATTTCAAGCGTCTTTGTGCAAAATTGATGAATGTTTTACGTGTACTAAAATGTTCCCTTTTAATCCTATTAAGACTTACAAAATATAAGTATTATACTTTACTTGTATATATACATATGTGATAAAAAATATATATATATATACACCTGGTTTTTCATGTCATATTTATATTGTGACCTTGTAATTATTTTTAATATTAAGCAAAGTAGAAATACGAAAAATAACACACGTATTATTTATTACAAGTCAATTTCTTATTTTATTGATTAAAATTGTTCATTAAATTAACTTAATACGAAACATATTTTGCCTCACAATACAAAATTAAAGATAGTATATTATATACTTTGATATTAATGTTTCTGTTACCCTATAAGAGTTTTTTTAACTTATATAATGCATGTAACTTTTAAATTACATGCAAACATTAGAGGCTTTTCCTATAAACTTCTAATAACATTTGCATCTAAAATCACCTTTTTTCTTTTTTTTTATAAATGATATATTAATTTTTTGTACAAATTTTAAATTTACAAATGAAATTTATACATGAATATATACATATATTAGAGGAAAATACACTTTGAATTAGAAATCAATATAATTGATATAATGTATATTTTCTATATTTTTTATAAATTATTATTTAAAAATATACTATTATATCATGTTGAAATTATAAAAATATAATTTTTAAATCTTTTAAAACCATCTATTTTGATAAAAAGTATGACTGCACAATAAGATTCTTTTACAAAAGATTTAATATAAGCTTAAAATGTCAATGAGAGAAAAATTTATATCACATTTATATCCCTGAAACAGTACTGATACTGGGTAAAGTACTATCACTCCATTCAGGATTAGGATAATTCCTTGGTGGACTGGGTACCTTAACAGGCATTCTACTTTGAATTCTTATATCTTGAAATATATTTTGAAATTGTTCTGTTATAGTAGAGCTTATTAAATTATGAGTCAAATTATCTTTTAGAATATTAGTATTATCTTCATTCACAATAGATTTTTTTTCAGAACTTTCTTCTTTATTTGATTCTAAAGACTTTTTAATTCTACTTGATTCTTTTATATCAGTTTCTTTTTTTTGAATTTTTTCAAGAGAATAATTTAAATGTTCCAATGATGATATTTTATTAGTATTTTTAAAATTATCTAAATTATCATTTTTTTATTACTAAATGTTATTACATCACCATCCCCTTTATTAACTAAAAAGAAAAATATTAAATTATTAGTATATTATGATATATGTGCATTATACTTATATATTGAATTTACCAGATTTACTGATCTCTGTACAACCAAGATCTTTATAAGAAGGTAAAAGTGTAAGTGAGGATTCTCCAGCAGGTAAACTAATGAAGTCTAAATTTGCGGAATCTTTGGTTGAAGCTTCCTTAATATTCTTAGTTCGTTTATTTTCTGAGGTCTCGCCTTGGATTTCTAAAAAAGCTGGAATTTTATCTGACATATGTAATAAATCTTGTGCATTTCTAATTTTAGACGGATTGTGATCCGTGGATAAAGAAATATCTGATATATCGTGCCAAGAAGTACGTATATTTGAATCACGTGAAGAAGTAGAAGTAGGTGATGAACATACACGACCTCCATGTACCAATGAAATTTGTGGATTTGGACATTCTTCTTGAATATAACTATCTTTTAAATTACATAATTGATCAGCGATACAATTTTGCAATTCCCTAAAAGATAAAAATAATAAAATAAAAATTTAACTATTATATAATTAATAAAAAAAAATATAGTAAATTAATATAATAATAAGTGATGATTCAACTAACTTGATTTGATTACGAAGATCATTTAATAAAGAATCTTTATACAATGATAAAGCTGAGAATTTGTCTTTTTCAAGAGTTATACATTGCACTTCTAAATATCTTTGACTTAAAAGTTCCTTTTGTTCAGCGAGATTCATTCTTAAGTCCGATATAATTTTTTGCGAAAATTCATAATTTTTAATCTTTTCTTTTAATTCAATTATTGTTTTATCTCTAATTTTAACAGTTTCTTCTAATTCTTGTTTTAATGTTTTTACAGTTTTTTCAAGATCTAACTGCTTTTCACGATTTTCGTGCAATAAAGAGCATATTTCCTGATTTTGTCTAATTTAAAATAAATTGAATAAATATAGAATGAGATTGTTATAATATATTTTTAATAAAAAACATACCTCACTAAAGAGTCTCTTTCATTTTGTAATGCATCACACATTAAACTCATTTGTCTAGTCGTTTCTGATTTAGTTTCTAACTCCTGCTGCAAATATTATTTATTGTATTATTTTAATACACAAAATTTTTGATATTATTTTTTTTATTATTTTTAATAAACATACCACAATAGGTGGTTTACCAGGTTCCATTGATATTCTTAATAATGCTTGTTCCATATTAGTAAGAATCTTATTAGCTTTATCGTCTTTAACCAAATGTTCTAATTCTTTTATTAAAAAATGTAATGTACGAACTGGATTAAAAACACCAAATCTATCATCAAAATAATCAAGTGTTCCATCACATTGTACACCTTTATCATAAACTATAATAGATTCCACAGTACTTGGAATTGATGTACTTGAAGGATTTGCAGTTCGTGGTATAGATTTTATATGTTCTTCTATCCTTTTTTGAGAAGCTGATTGTTTGATAGGCAATTCATCTAAATGTTTATGCTGTGAAATAAAATATGATTAATAAATTAATACAACAAATATTTTAAAGAAATATAAAAACTAATACTAACATTTGGTTTTTGATGATTTAAGGAATGCTTTTTAATTTCTTTAGTTTCACTACTATGTTTTAATGATTTTGAACCTGTTGTTCTTGTCTGAAATTGTTGCAAACCTTGTTTTATAACTGCTTTATTTTGTTCTATTAAAGCTTTACCCCAACTTTGGTGGACATCACCACTATTACCAGGTCTTTTTTTTTCTTCTATACTTTTATGACTAGTTGGATTGCTCATAACCATTGTTGATTTACGTTTAAGGCCTTTAGCTTTCACAATTATTTCAATTTGTTTATTACAATCACAAAGACCTTCTGAAGAGAGTCCAGAAGGAGGCTATAGATTTATAATGTATAATTAAAATTTAAAATATCACAAAGAAATATATAACCATAAAAATACTGAATTATAAATTACCATATAATGGTTATTTTCCAATATATTTTTATTAGATATAGCAATACTTTTACTAGCACCGTTTATTTTGTTGTTCATTATGCTAAAATAATAAAAAAATATGTTCTTTATGTTAAATAAATATTAAAACCTGACAACTGGTTTCCAATCAATATGGACAAAATTCATCTAACCTAGTATTTTAGTGAATTTATTTCTATTATATATCGAAAAATTTATTATAATTTATTATAATATTTACCAACATATTTATCCTGATATTTACAATATATATACCATCTTGAATAATTAAATAATTTTGAACAATCATTATATTCCAGTATTATGTAGAAGACGTAATAAAAATATCTAATATACTTCTTTTTCTTTAATTTTAATAAAAAATATTTATTATATAATTCAGTAAATATTTTATATTTTATATATATAAAGTCAACTTCAGATTTGAAATTGCATTTTTTTTTAACTTATTATATATAAAAATGATTTAAATCATATAGATGCACATTTCGAAATAATTACAGAATTTCCGGTTTCCGCATTGCAATTCAAACAAATCTAAATTCTATTATTTTCATAATTTTCCATTCTTTTCAATTATTATATTATACATATATAGTATATTTTAAAAAATTAATTAAATATATAGAGTTATCAATTATATAAATTTAATCAAGATAAAAAAATTAATTTTTACAATAATATAGGATAATAATATAATAACTCATTTAAATTACATATTATATATAATTAATATTTTGAATACATACATATATATATATATATATTATATATATATATATACATATATATATATATATATATACAATTAAAAAATTATTATGATAGTATATAGATTAAATTTTTTATGTGAAAATCACATTTAAAATATTGCAATCTTATATAAAAATTATACTATTTTACTTATTATTAAGTTTTATTAATATATTATAAACTGCATTTCTGTGCTCTCCTAATGTTTCATAAAACTTATCAAAAAATAGCTTAGCAGATTCCTCTATATATGCTTTTCTTCTCTGAACTGCATCTAGTTTATCTGTTGTTTCTTCTAATTCTGCAACAAGTTCTTGTGTATTTGGCATTGAATCTTGAATTTCCTTAATTTCATTTTGCGATTTCTTTATTTGTTCTCTTAATTTTGTTTCTTCATGTTTTGCATCAGTTTTAATTTTATTTATAAGTACTTTTTTTTTCTTTAATTTTATTAATAATATCACTATTTTCATCTTCTAAAGTTTTCATTTTCTCCTGTAAATTTTCTAATTCATTAGAATTTGTTTCTAATGAACGTTCTTTTTCAATAATTTCTGATTTCAATAATTCTTTCAAATCATTCATTAAATTAGCTTTATCTTTTAATATTTCCATAATTTCAGGTTTCAATATACCTTTTTCTGGCATTTTTAATTCTTCTAAATTTATATCTATATTACCACTAAAATGCATAAATATTTCATTATTATATGTTAATACTGATTTAGTTATTTCATTATTATTAAATGCCAATTTAATATCCATTGTATATAATTCTTTTTGTATTTCTTTTAAATGTTCATCAAACTGATGTATATAATTTTGAATTTCTGTACATTTTTCTAAAATTTTATCTCTTTCTATTTTGGACATTGGTTGTTGTTTAATTGTAGAAAGTAATTCATCATGCTGTTTTTTTTGTAAACAAATTTGTTCACTCAATATATTGCATTCGGCATTTAATTGATCTGTTTCAAAATTAATTGTTTTTATATATTCCTCTTTTGCACTGATATCACTCAATTGCTTTTCTTCATCATTTTGCAAAGATAAGAATACTTCCTGTAGATGTTTAACTTCTTCATTTATTTTATTTAAATTTTCTTCGGCTTCCTGCTGTTTAAGCATTTCTTTTTCTAGTTCAGAACGTGCATTATTCAAATTTTCTTCACTTATACCTTGTTGTTCTTCAATTTCTTGTAAATATTTTTCCACCATTGATGCTTCCTCATCAAGTTTCTCATCATTCCAGGCATTATAAAAATTCAACATTGAGAAAAAAGCATTTTTATTAATTTTAGCTTCTTGTTCATTTCCCATAAATGGTAGATTATTTAAATTATACTTCTCAAAAGCTATTTCTCTTATTTCACAAATTTCTACTAACCAGCATATCCAACCTAAAACATTTGGCCAGGAATGCATAGCATTAGCAGTTTTTAACCAAGATTTGTTAATTATTCCTGGATAATGCAGTTTTTTTGCAATTTTTGGTAATTCTTCCACGTAATTGGAAATAGTAAGAATTTGTTTAATATCTAATATTTTTAATAAATATGCAGAAACTTCAACAAACATTTTCAAAGTAACTGGTTTAAAACTGTTATTAGTATTAATCATCGAAGAACAATGATTTATTGAAAGAAAGTTATCAATTTTATTAAGCATATAAGCCTGATATGTCTTGTCTGTTAAAGGTCTTGTATCCTTTCTAGAACCTTTTGCACCAATATTGCTAGCACGATCAGCTGATAAAGATCTACGACCTGTAGGAAGTCCTGCATGAATTTTATTTGAACTTCCAATTGTATGAAGATTGGAAGATTTGCCAACATTTGGTGTATTTGGAGTTGTTGGTACATGACAAAATGGAGTTTTACCTACAAATAAAGTTTTGTATACAGTAATAAACATTTTGCATTTAAAATGTTTACAATATTTTAAACAAAAAATAAAAAAAAATTTTTACCTGTTGCTTTTAATAATGACCCCTTGATATTTATTCTATCACAAGAGGAAGCCCGAATTCGAGGTCTTGGTATATGAGAATTTTCAACTGAAGAAATAGAATTTTTTGGTTTTAACGTTTGTGTTCTTCTAGATTCGGTTCTTGTCAAGCTTTTATCTTCTCTATCAAGTAAAGATATTCTTACAGGATTCGTAGATGATCTACGTCCTATAGAGTAACCCGACATTTTATCGAAACAAATTATACTTTTTTATTAAAAAATTATTAAAACAAGAGATATATTAAAATATTGAAAGTTTTAATATTCAAACTATTTATTTTAAAATCAAACATTTTGAATTTCGACGTTAGTCATAGATATGTAAGATATAAGATTAGTAAGTAATATGAATAAACACAAGTATCTATACTATTTTAATTAAAACTCACCATTATATATTTTTAAAATTCAATTAAAAAAATTGAAAATAATATTTTTTATTTTCATTTAAGTTAGTTTAATTATTAATTTATGATAATTAAAAGATAAAATTTCAATTAATTACAATTAATTAAAGATAAATATTAAGATAATATTACAATATATAATAATGAACAAATAAAATCTTTTATATCTCAATTGAAATTATATAATAATGTGGTTAAAATTTTTTTGTAAATAATTTAAATATATAAGTAAAATAAAATATCCTCAAAATTAGAAATAATATTTATAATTGTTTAATAATAAATAATTATTGAATTAACATATAATATATTTATAATTTTACAAATAAATATTTATTGGAATGAGAAATAAAAAAATTATAAAATATTATATGATAATTATATTAATATTTATTAATATGTAATCTTCAATAATTTTAATATTTTTTCCGTATTATATCTGTAAATGTAATATATAATGGTAAAATATTAATTTTTGAGGAAATATTTTTAATTGAAATTATATATTTCATAAAAGCACTAATATCGATATATAATTGTACCTGCAAATATTAAAACTAAAAGTATGCTATATAAAAATTAAATAATAATGTTAAAAACATTATGTAAATTATATACACCTAGAATAAAAAAGGTATTATATGGTAAAATTTGTCAAATGTTTTTTTACATATAAATAAATCTGTTTTATTATTATAGGTTATTTTTTTTTAAGATATATGCTTATATATTATTTTAATTAGAAGAAATATTTAGAAAAAATACAATATGATTTATTGTTACAGAATTTACAAATTCATTTATTACAAAAATGTTCAACAATAATAAAAAGTGAAATTAAAAATAATTTACAAAATTTTGTAAAATATGAAAATAAAATTTTACAAATAATAAATAATAGTATATATAATAATTCAAAAGAATTAACAAAGTAAGTATATAATAAATATTATTATATAAATTAATATAGTCTAATAGAAGATATATGTATTTACTTTATTGTCTATATTATTTTATATAATATATAGATATGTTCAACCAATATATGCTGAAAGAATAATATCAAACTACACTAAAAATGGACCTTACAAATCATTAAATGATTTATTAATAAAGACTAATATAGATGTAGATATTTTGAATAAATTTTATATTTTAATACTCAGTGAAATTCAGAAAAAAAAAATCAAAAATGTAACACCTGATATCAGCGGAATAAAAGTATAAAAAATATTCATATTTATATTCATATTAATAATCTATATTATTTTTAACAATATATATAATAATATTATTAATAATAAAATTGTTTCAGATGCCAGAAATGATATTGGGAATACATGTGGGACCTAATGCAATAAGTTGGACATTATTAAATTCCAATTTTAAGATACTAAATTGGGATTGTTTTGTTTGGAGGAATAAAACTTCAAAAATTACAACTTATGATATAATTAGTTTGGTAAATATTTTAAATTTAATATTTTAAGTTCAAGATAAATATTTTATTTAATAATTATTTTTTTTATGATATAGACATCATCTTTTGTACAAAAATTATTAGTATCTAATAATAATCTCACTTCCTTTGTAATAGAAGAAATTAACACATCAAAAAAATTATATATACAATATCAAATAATCATTGGTATTGCAAGTTGTCTTAAATTTTATCAAAGTATGTTTACAATATTATTAATAATGTTGCAAAAATGAAAAATACTTTACATTTAATAAAATTTGTAACATTTTCAGAAAAAAATAATTCATCAAATTTCTTAAATAATTTATACATTTTAAAATCTCAAACAACAGCACAATTCTTTAAACTTAGAATTGGTAATGAAACAATAGCAGCAAATTATATTTTGGAAAAAATATTAAATAAAACAGAAACAGATGAAAATTTAAAACAGATACAAATATATATAAATAATGATATAAAACAAAAATATAAAGAAAAAATTGTAGAAGAAAGAGAACAAATAGGATGGTCTCTATTAACAGCTTTAACTTTCGTACATCTAGTTAAAAATCAATCTCAAATAAAATGTAATTAAAATAATTAATAATTAATAAATAATTGTTATGAATATAAACTGATAAATGTTTTATACAGTGTATGTGAAAAATAAAAAAGGAATTCCATATGAATTAATATTATATACAGATCTTTTCATTTATTATGTATTAATTTTTATTATATTATCTATTTATAATACATTGTAATCTAATATTTCTTTGTTTTTGAATACAAACTCATGATTAACTATATAAATAAATAATTGATCACAATGATAGCAGTATGAAAAATTATTTACTAATCATATGCTATTGCAAATATTAAGTGAATATATAGGAGAGCAAAAATACATAAAAATAAATTTGTATGATGAACTAAAAATATCAATTTAAACAATACTTTTTAGTGTGCAAATTAATAAATTATTAAGTTATCCCATAAGTAATACAGTTTTTCTATATTTAAAGCAATGAAATTAGTTGTAACGAAAAGTTCTATAAAAGAACAGAAAATTTAGTAAAAAAAAAAAAAAAAAAAAAAAAAAAAATTATAGAAAATAATAGAAAATACATTATTAATTAATTATTGATAGATAGTTGCTTATTTTCACGTAATATACAGTATATCACGTACAGAAAAAAAATAGCATTATTTATGGGATATACCTAATAGGTATTTAATAGGCTTATTGAAAAAATTGTAATACCGCTACTTAATCCGGCAGTGATGCTGTAAAAAAAAGCATATTTCTACATATCATTATCTAATTGAGCACAAATAAGCACAACACAACAAAATTTTTCATTGCACGTATTTTAAATATTGTTCTTTTTATTATAATGTTTTCAAATAATGGTAAAAAAAAAAAAAAAAAAAATAAAAGAAAATTATTCTGGTCAATAAGTAACATTAAGAAATTAATGAATCAAATCATATATCATTTATTCAGACACTGTAGTAAATTGCGTGTGCCAGTGCTCGTGTATGTTATGTATTTGTTTAAATTTTTTTTGAATAAACATAATAAATATGAAATACATAATTAATAGAATAGCTGATTGAGCTTGTATTTTTTTATATATCAATATTTTATGACACATACAATGAATTAAAATTAAATAAAGAGATTTCAAATGCCAATCTCCTCAATAATCATTTGACGCATAAACGATGCTAATTTCCACAATTTTCCGATTGTAATAATCGTATATAATTATTTCTATGAATTGAATAACAGAAATATCAACCATTATTCCATTTTACTTTCATTGCCGATGGACTACAGATCATCGGATCCGTCATCGAAACGACAAATAGATACGCTATACAATTGAACTATGTGATTGCATCTCTTTCAATGTCTCACTCGCAATCGCATCGCTGCCAGGTTAACGTAATTAATTAAATCGTTAAAGTAATACCCGATCAGACCAGCTGGAAACGAGTCTTGACATATATGTATATCGACATATCTAATATATAATTCTATATATATAATATATCTATATGTATATTAATATGTGCACGTCTTTATTACGCTACAACATCGTGAAACAAAAACTGTTAAGTACATTATAATAATTATTATTTCTTTCTTTTCTCTTTTTCGCCTCTGTATATAGTTTAGAATGCATTTTTTTCTTGTTTTATTTTCTTTTTGCTTTATATCTCGAGACATTTTTATGCAAGCATATACATATATAAAATCTAGATTCAGTTTAGAACGTATATATCATTACGTGCACTAAAGCGATATCACCAATTCGCTTTGAATTTGTGCAAAACGATGCGGTTTTTTATATAAGATATAACCGGGAATAGAAATATATCTTTCGCAAAACTACCACGTTATGCTCGGATGAACACACAATCGATATACAATTATGACATTAAAAATAATACATGATTGTTTAAATATATAATAATGTTAATAAAATTATATAGTATCTGTCATTGAAGAATTAAAATTATATAGTATCTTATTGAAAAAGCTTTTTTTATATAACAATTCCTCTTGCGGAAATAAAAGTATATATAAAAACTTGAAAAATCTATTACACGTGTGGACGGGCACATAAAATAAAAAAAATTATTTGCGATTCTAGATAAAAAAAGCTTGACGCATAAATATGATTAAATATACTCGAAATCGCTCAGAATGATTTTCTAATTTTTTAATAATATTTTTTATGTATTTTCAGATCATATAACTCAGATCATTCAATCATCCTCCAATGAACTTGAGGTTTCTCTTGAGGATTTTTATAATATTTTTCTGATTTTAACATGTTCACATTTTTGACATTCGATACCCTGATAGAATTTTAATTAGCATTTAATATTTAACATGTCATCGAGAATTTAATATCAAATTTCTTGATCCGCATTAAGATGTTTTCTTCTTTCGGCAAATGCATGGCGCAATTCCAATAAGATTATCAATGAACTTTCATGTTTCACGCATACACTCGTTATACAAGTAAATAAATGTTGCGATATTGAAACAATCATTTTACATGTTTTGAAAGCTACGCATCTAAGCCAGTCTTCCTTGTATTCTACTGATTTTACATCGATAATTGCGCGTTTCTTTCATTTCAATACTTTTTTCTTATTTATAATTTAATAATTTAAATAATTTTTTAGACGAACGAAATTAAAAAGAAAAAACTGATCAATTCCAATCAGCTTCTTCATAGAATGCTAAATATCGTTCAACATTCGGAAAATGACATACATACATATATATAAATGTATATGTGTATCCATTAAACATTCATTAGACGAGTAGAACATTCTTCACATGATGCATGCTTGTATAATCGAAAGATCTAACGAGATAGGATATCAACATATGAAAAAAAAAAAAAAAAACAAGGAATTTCTCTTTTCCATAACATTCTAGTTTCAATATGAAATATACTATGATTAGTTATAGTTCCCCTGGCTTGCATGCGATCTATCCATACCGATTTTTAATGTCGATCCCATAATATATTGCGTTACATCATCGCTGTCAGATTAAGTAAGGAACGTAATATTCGAATAATAGGATCGTGATCGTATTAAAACACGTTATTTAATGAAGAAACGTGCCTTCGGAAATATGTGATCGATAATAATGATAATATTAATAACAAACGAACGATAAATGTCGGAGGGATGTATGGACAGCTTGTATATCGTGAAACTTTTATGCGATGATCGGACGATTGTCGATATGCAATCGAGTTGTGCTGCTCGTATTGCTTTTGATTGAACTTGTCAAAAGTACGAAGAGAATGATTTCATTAATTCTCGGCATATTTGCCCCTTCTGGTGTGTTCATTTGCCTCTCTAACGTAATGTTAAGCTACATATATATATTTTTTGATACGAAGTTAGCGAGATTAAAGTTGATAGAGTAGCATCGAGGGCAAATCCATGTTTACTTTACACGGAGGATAATAAGACACGATAAAGATTTTTAGTTATTACTTTATGCACGCGGTTGTGCACTTTAAATACATTTACAATAGTCTATTTATAACTCAGCGCACTATCTTTTCCCTTAGATACCACGATTAGAAACAATGAGAGATAGAGATAGAATAAAAAGCGCAAAGAAAACAGTTGCAAGCTCTTTCTCCGATTTTTTTTTTTTTTTCATTTTAAAGATATTTGGTCCGATGTTAAGAGACTCTTACACTTAATTAAACACGCGTGCCGACATGTAATAGTTTTTCTGGAACGGACGTTAATAACAATATGGAAATTGTACGCGAGGAACACGATGGGTTACATTGATGCATTCTTAACACGTTGATTTAACAATCGATTATAATCAATTTGTTAATCGCGATACAGATCAAAAAATTCTGTTACTCAAATCAAATTATATTATTCAACTAACAATATCGTTGATTAAATATCAGTTCATCCCACAATAATGCGAATTTTACAATTTTACATTGTGATGAAAAATAGCGATAAAGTGATAAATATTAAGTAAGACAATTGGTTAAATATTCAGTTTAAATCAATACTTTGAATTAAAATAAATTATTATTATAAAAATGTATTGAACAATCTAATGGACAAACAGATCTATTTAAGTTAATAAAAATAAAAGTGTTTATTCATTTGAAAGAAAGTTTTCTTATCGAGATAATACAAAGCCATATATGACATTAAAAAAAAAATTAGAAGATTTTGATTAAAAAAGAATATAAACTATTTTTAAAGAAATATTACATTAATAAATTATCTACTTAAAAATTTGTAAAATTATATAAATGAAAAAAAAAATTCTTAATGCTGACAAATAAAGAAGTAGACAAGAAGTGACAAATAAAGAAAGTAACTTATAAAAAACAGAAAAATTAATTTAAAAAAATTTACATTAATTATAGGATGATCTAATATCTAATATCTTTAAATATTTTCAACGGATGTATGCAATCAATAGAATAACCCATTATCAAACTTGGTACATTCCATTAGATGGTCAAGAAATATTCTTCTTTAAATATTTTGGACTAGATTGATAAACGAACAAGATCGTACCGACTTGAAACAACCTGGCACGCTTCAAATTCACGCACGATCGAATGTTTCTCTATTTTGGAAGCAACCAAGAAAAGGAACTCTGTGTGGCACAATAAAGAAAGAGTAACGTGTATAAGAATTATAAATGAGATTCATTCGCAACGCTCTTAATTACCATTTTTTAACTTTTTTTTTATTACTGTTCAATTATTTTTAGTAATGATTACACGAAGCGTACAACCGCATAGACGAAAAATCTGACGACGATAGCTCATGTTAATCAAAGAATAAAAATTACTTGTTTGGTCGTCACACACACGAAAGGGCAACACGCAACACGTAGGAGAGAGACCACACTTGTTAGATACATACAGTAAATTTAAATTGGGTCAACTCTACTTAAGCGTTTACATTTAAATTATCCGAACATTGGCTCTGCACAGATAAGTACTCTCCGTCTAAATATACATTTCAATTCGGTGTGCGAGAATAGTCTTCCACTAATATTAAATATATATAAATATAAATATATTACATATATATGTATGTATCTACTCGTATTTATATATTTATATTTATATACGTGTATATATATTATTTTTTCTCATTTTTAATTGCCCGATTTTTTTTCGATCTAGTCATAATTGAAATCGGTCGGAACTTTTGATTCATTCATTTTAAAAATGGAATCAATAATTAAGTTCGGCTTGATATAGTTTAAGAATTCTTCGATTCTATAATAGTTTTTAGATTCTCTTATTTTTTCTTCACTCCTTTCAATTTTTCTTTTTTTCAATTTTTGTTCTTTTTGTTGGAAGTTATATAGTATCGAGAAATATCTGTTTTGTATTTCATAGAACGAAAGGAATGAAATATTTCGCCGAAAATAATATCACAGCCTGGAGATGGTGGAAGACTAAGATCCATGGCTAAAACTTCAACTGAATTCTCAAAAAACAATTGAACAAAATGGCACAGATCGTTGGAATTCAGATCAAAAATATTTGTCTTATGAATTTTTTTTCGACGTTTTATCTTATATATTGCAAAGAATTAAAATTATAATAAATTTATAATAAAAATGAACAAACTTAACGATAATTAAAACTCATGAATAAAAATTATTAACATAATATTTCATTAACAATCTCTATTGCTATATTGATTTCTTTTTCGTTCTCACAATACTCTTCTTCCTTTTTCCTCCGTGATTGTGATATTATTTAGAAAGCTTAACGCTTCTAACTTTCAGTCGTACAATGAATACATAGTTTTTTCTTGCTTCATAGTAATAAAAATTACATTTGACCGTTTTTCTCTGATTCCGTCAAGGAGAAAACATGAAGACGGTCATTAAAAAGTGACTAGTATATGTACTTGTTCGCACAACGTTCAAATTAGTTCAAACTTTTTTTTTCTTTTTTCTTTTCTTTTTTTTTTTTTTTTTTTTATGATGCTAGACGTATATCATACATGTATAACGTGTATCATACACGTGTAACAAAAATAGGTTTATAGGTTTCTTTTGGTCGATTTTTGTTACCAGGATTCACCGATAAGACACACATGAAAATGATTCGAGACTAAGGTGTTTAATTATCTTTTTCGCAGCATTATCGTAATAATTCTGCAAAAAATCATAGCTATATACTTGACTCTGCAATAAGAAACAACTATTTGTTTCTTTTCAAAATATAGCGTGGACTTTTAAAAATAATTCATTTATGAAGTGATATAATCATAAATATTGTGAATTATCATAATTGAGTACATTATCGATCGAAATATGCTTCAATTTGTTAACAAATAATTCTAAACAATAACAAATATAAATAATATATATAGATAAAATATAATAATGATCAATAATGTTGTGCGCATATACATATAATAAATAATATTATATTGTGCGCTACGCGAATATATTTCATAATTAATGTAAGCAAATCATAACATTAGAAGCATGAATTATTATATTGAAAAATAGTTCTATTAAATATATATGTATGTGTGTGTGTGAGAGAGAGAAATTGTTAGATAAAATATTTAAAAACTGAAAAGATATTTCTCCCATTCCCTTTTTTTTTTTAGAGATAAACTTAAATGCCACACATTCTTATAGAAAATAGTTATTTTGCATTTAAAAATCTTATAGGTACTAGTAATTTTTCTAACTTGTCTATTGTGCTCTTTGCCATTTTACATTTTTAATTTTCCTAATAGCATTTATGATAAAAAATTCATAATTAGGATTTTTATTATATATGCTATTTTCAATATCTAATTTCATAAGCAAGCTAATATTTCAATAAGTTATTGATAAAAATATTTCTACTTTGTGAACAAACACAAGATACTCTAAAAGTATCTTAATCTCTGAAATGTAATCGATAATGATTATCGAAATATAGAAAATAATTTAATTCATTGATTCTTTATATTTTCAGTAAAATGGAATACAGTTGCTAGAATATTAAGTATAAGAATGACATAAAAGTATATTATTTAGAAACTCTGTAAGTTTTTCGATATATCGCATTATTCTTTATTATTTTTTTTTTTTTTATTGAATAATTCAATAAAAATCTTATTTAATATTCAGATTTCTATCTTGTAAACATTTCGAGCACATGACAAGATAGGCTAATATTCTTGATCTGATACAGTCTTGAAAAATTCACTTCAGTACTATATTGCAGATATGAATCAGTCGAGATTATAATTTTTCTAGTTTTTTTCTTTTTTTGTTATCTCTTCACTGTGTGTCATAGGTATAAACTTGGTAACTATTAACGACGATTCTTACTGGTACACGTCTAAGTAAATAGTCATTACGAAAGTCGACTCGAGATGATACTTGAAAACACGCGGATGAGATTCATAAAGTAGGTGTACAAGTTTGTGCTCATTTTACATTACTGTACAAAAGTATCATATCTTTAGTACAGCAGTGCAATTTATCACTATCCGCAAATAGTTCATCGAATATCTGAAATATTAGTTTTGCTACCAAAGATTTTGATTAGCTGATCTTCATAATCCTCGATATTACGCTTCATAAGTTCCATGCAAGGCCCAAGTAAGCGTTCAAAAGCTTCAACGTCCAAAACTGAAAAAATCGTATTTAAGATATTTTATGATTCCAATTTTTCGTAAACTAAATCTCACACATATCGATACTCTCATGATTATTTATCTATATCCATATAAAAGTCAAATATAATATTAGTAAGTAGTATAATATTAGATAAATAGATATTTTAATGGATAATATTAGAAATATATAAAAAGAAAACTTACAGGCCAGTTTTACTTCGCCTACAGCGTAGGCCGAAGCAGCGCGAGGTTTATGTGTCACCAGCGCCAATTCGCCTAAGTATCCACCAGCGGGAACTCTATTAATCTAGTATCAAATAGAATATCAAATGGCATTCATACAATTAACAATGTATATTAGTTTCCTACTAATATATTAATAACTACGAGTTCAATAATATATTGTATTGAATTATGTAGTAATTATTACAATTATGTTAGAAAATGAAAATTAATAGTTGTACCTCGACCTCACGATCATCATCTCCTTTTATGGTGATTTTAACGATACCGTCCTCGACAAAATACATTCCATCGGCTGAATCGCCTTGTTTGATGATCTGTTCGCCATCTGAATAATGTTTTGGTACTAGAGCATCCGCTAGATTCATACGTTCATATGGCTAAAACAAAAACAAAAATGAGACACTGGTATTATTCAGTTGCTACTATATTATCATATTATTATCCATAGTATTATTTACATACATAATAATAATAATATAATTGCATTATATTATATTTAATATTAAATTAGTTTGTTATGAAATAATAGAATATAAAATAAATATTAATAACTTTAATTCTAACTGAACATTTCTTGGCAACTGAAATGTTTTGTGCTTTATCCAAAATTCAATAATATATTTGACATGTAATTGAAAATAATCAGCTGTTACTATCAATCAAACAGAATATCCTAAAATAATCTAATAAATAATCTAACCATTTCCTAAAACAAGTTATATATAATATATATAATCTCTTAAACTACAATGATGAATTGTTTTTAAGAAATTTTCTATATATCGCAATATTTTCAAATAAGACTCAGATATAAGACTTGCCTCGAGAGATTTAAGCATCGGAACCTTATTGATAAGATCCTCATACATCTTGCGCTTCTTATAAGCGGATTTCAATAAAATACGTCGAAAAGTTTGCCTATCCATAGCCCATAATGTACCATTCGTGATGGCCTTGATAGTGGCCGCTCTTGGCATATTATAAAGGAGTGCAAGCTCGCCGAAAGCACCACGGTTATCATATGTATGTATCAAGGATTCCATATCTGTTTGATCTTTTACGTATACTTCGAATTTTCCTCTGAAAGAGGTACAATAATTGAATAATTATTTTTTATAATCTGTTTTATATGATTTATCAGAATTTTACATAAATAATGAAAGAAGAAAAAAAAATATATTTTACCTCTCAATAACATAGAAATTGTCACCGTCATCACCTTGTCGGATAACTATATCTCCAGATTTCACGATCTTTTCAAACATCGCATCCAACACGTCAGTCATTTGATCCTGTAAATAATTCATGCGATTCGTGTATGTACATGCCATAATATTGGTATGCAATTATAAATATTTCATAACTAGAAACATTTATTGTTTTTTAGCATTCTAATGATGATAATTAAGATATTTTGATTTAAATGATCTATAGATATTCAGATATAAACATAAAAAAATATATGTAGTGTATGAGTGTTTTATATAACAAAAGAGTAATTTAATATATATATATATATATATATATATATATATATATAT